CTGCTGTCACAGCACATAGACCTATTGACTGCATAAAAGACTTACCAGCCAGTCTCAGAGTAACTCTCTCACATCTTTACATGCTATTTAAACATAAGAAACCCAAAATCTTCATCTTGATTTCATCCTATAATCACACTGTGAATAGAAGTGGGATAATGATCAAGTCCCTTTTCCTCCTTTGCAGAATTCCATTTCCTTTCTCTACTGGCATAACATGCTCTGCCAGACAATGAAACTGCAACTACAGAATTTCCACTTGCTCTTGCACTGAAGTGGCTTTTGTAATTTAAACCATCTGTTTAAAACTATTATACATTCAACATATTCAATGAGCTTTTAGGGCTTATAATAACAAATTACATCTGTCTTAAATTTTAATTGTGGTTCAGTAAAGTACATCCAAACCTAAGACAACGAGCATAAAGAATAGTTAATTTTCTTTTTAACATCACTTGATAATAAAAATTACTCTGCCTGCACAGAAAAGTCTCTTTTGCCAAAAATTCCCAATGAAAAATTTTACTGTGGTCTGCAAGGTGCCAATAAAACATCAAGTGTCCTAATACTTGAATGTACTGCAAATCAGGTACCCCAATGTCAATGTTACCCCTACACCGTTTCTCTGAATTACCCTCTAAACATGGAAAATCATATCCACAAATCTCCCAAGTACAACATTACTCTTGAGAACAAGTCTGACAACAGGACATTGACAAAAAGAACAAGGATATTTCTTTAAAAAATGACAACTGCTTTGAAGCATGAAAGAGAAAACAAGAGTATCACCCTTTGGTAACACTTTTTACCAAGTGGAAAAAAACCAAGAGTAAAAATTCAGTATTACCTCTGCCCAGTATCCAGGCAGCTAGAACTGCAGAACTTGTAAGCCTCTGAATATCCATTTGCCAATAGCTTCAGTTTGAAGGGAAAAAAAAGGAGTACAAAACAACTTTCTATGAAAGCAGTAATACTTTCAATAGAAGAAATACAGAAATACAATAATACATTTGTAGGTTCCCACCCTTTAAAAAGCATTTAAAAAAAAAGTACTTAGTAGCTTATGTTAAAAAATACTACTTAGTTATGCTAGCCAGTTGAATATACCATGCAACTCAATACACTTCAGCTGGCTGGCACAGTTGGTACTTCCCATAACTCTACCTGCCCAACTTCAGTTCACAGCACAGCTGATGCGGGCCGAGGGCGGCCAAGTCGCCCACTGAGAACAAGATCTCACTTAAAGCCTGAGATGAACACACCCAAGGCGAGCAATCCAAACGGGAGATGGTCCATACATCACACACGCCGGGAAGAGGTGCGGGGCAGAGCGGCGGGAGAGCCCCCGGCCCGGGCGCTCTCCAGGGTCCTGCACCGCCCCAGCGGGTGCCGCCCCGCACCCGGGCACCGCCACCGCCCCCGGGAAACCGCACCGGGAAACGGTGTCAGTAAGTACAGCTTCATCGGAAAGAAATAAGCACGGGGGGGAGGGCGGGGGGCAGGGGGAAGGAGGGAAAGGATCTCAATTCCGTCAACCACCAAATGAAACAAACTATGAAATAAAGTAGCAATCGCCGAGTTGCAAAGTGCAGAAAAACACAAAAGGGATGGATTTCATCACCTTCGTGGCAGCATTCGATTTCTCAAGGAATAAAGTAAGTATACGTGGTATTTGTTCAAGGATACTTTGAGTTCTCGTGAGAAATCTTTATGCAAAGGAGAAACCTCCTCTTTACCTCTTCCACCAACAACCTTAGCTGTAAGGTGCTCACATAGAAAACATTTTCCTAAGAACACGTAGGACACAAACCCCACTCAAATGATCAGTTACTGCAGCCTGAAATACCTACCATCACTTCAGAACAAAGTTCTTTTTGCTCTTTCAGAAATCTCTACTAACAAAGTAATTAACATCCATTCTCATTTATGATATATCAACTTGTAAGCACCCTCTGTTAAAACCCTATGAGCTTCCATTTGTTTTTAAGACAAAGCCAGACCACTTCTCTTTTCTGTCACACACCCTTATTTTTCAGTTGCAGTCTGAGTCTAATAATTAATAGAGCCCAGAAATGATTCCTGGAAACAAGTATTCTGCCTCTTCACAACATGGAACATTGTTGATTGAAAATGAAAGCTCACCACCATTTAAATTTATTTGGGGGAAAAAAAGTAAAAAAAAAGGCAAGCAATAGTTGCATTGTAGAAAGAGAGCTCAGAGAGGAAGATGAAAACTTAGACAGAGACCCATTAAAAAAAAAAAAAAAAAAAAAAGGAAAAAAGAAAAAAAAAGCCTAGGGAACCCAGATGGACAACATCTCTTCAGTTTTCATATCATGTCTCCCACCTCAAATGAATCATTTGTAGTTTTCCTGATCTTTCTGCAGACAAAAATAAGTGAGCAATACAACACCAGTAGGTAGAAGATGACAAAGAGTATACAATGATTATTATTATGAGAAAAGCACCAAACACAGTTTAATGTCAAGAACACAAAGGCAAAGTCTACCTATCTTAGGATCTGCTCCCAAGGAGGACACAACCAGCTTAGTTTTCAGGTGACAGAACAAGTCCATTATTTACTTCTGCATAGCAGTTATTCACTTGTATGCTACTATCTGTAGGAATTGGCTTGTAATTAAAAGCATGCTTTCCCAATTACTTAAGACCATGAAGGAAAATACATTTGTCCTGGTTTGAGCCAGGATGAAGCCAATTTTTCTTTTTACTGATTTTTTTTTCCTTCAGTAAGCTTTCTTGTAACTAGCAACAGTGTGTTCTGCTAGGCTGATAAGACAGTGGAACGTTTTTCTAACTACTGAGGCTTCAAGGCTGCACCTGCACTCTGCCGGCTCAGACACTATGGGGAGATCTGTGACCCCCCCGTAGGAGGCTGAGTTAAGACGGACAGCAAAATTGGCCAAAGATATTCCATATATCTACGTAAGCTGAGAGATCACAGAAGACAACTTCCTTCTTTTTTTCTCCCCTTCTCTTCCGTCCATGGCCGGCGTCCGGGGAGGACTCTGTTCATCCAGCACCGTCGACCCTTAGGCTCGAGATCTCGTGACCCCCATAACTCTCTGCTTTCTCCAGCAGCAGCTCCGGGATTCCTCGGGACTCTTCCCAGTTCAGGGAAGTGCTGTGGGAGTTGCTGGGGTGGGGGGAGGCGAGAGGTTTTTGCCCACACCTGAGTATATCTGTATATAATTGTATATATTTTCTTGTATGATTCATTAGTGTTTTAATTAAAGCTGTGTAGTTTAGTTTTCAATCCAGCCAAGTCTCTCTCTTTTTTTCTCTCTCTCCTTCCCTACCTGGGTTGGGGGGAGGGGGGATCGAGAGCATTGTTGTCGGACCTGAGTCAAACTGTGACAACAATTTATTGGCACCCAACGTGGGGCTCAAACCCACGACCCTAGGATTGAGTCCCATGCTCTACCGACTGAGCTATCTGGGCTCATGGATGAAAGAGAAGGGAAGAAGAAGAAGGAAGTTGTCTTCTGTGATCTCTGACCTTCCTTTTAGCTTATGTAGATATATGGAATGGAATATCTTTGGCCAATTTTGCTGTCTGTCTAACTCAGCCTCCTACAGGGGGGTCACAGATCTCCCCATAGTGTCTGAGTCGGCAGAGTGCAGGTGCAGCCTTGAAGCCTCAGTAGTTAGAAAAACATTCCACTGTCTTATCAGCCTAGCAGAACACACTGTTGCTAGTTACAAGAAAGCTTACTGAAGGAAAAAAAAATCAGTAAAAAGAAAAATTGGCTTTATCCTGGCTCAAACCAGGACAACATTTTACCAGGCTTTGCTACAAAGATACTGACATAGAAGTAACAGTTAAAAGAACAAGAGGTCTTCAAAATCAGAAATATTTGAAGGAAAACTAATCCAGTACAGCTGCAGAGACCTGTCCTCTCCTTTGTTGCCAAACCTCTTCCTTGGGCTGGCACAGCCACCTTTACAACTGCATAGTCAAACGAACTGAAGAATGAATTCAACTGAAAATAACCTCAAGAGAATATAAATAAATAAATAAATAAAGGTGGGGGTTAATAAAGTTAACTTTGCTGTAGTTTATTTCCCCAGTCTAATCCCCCAAACAAACCTCTGTTGCTGGCACCTGGACAGGACTGCACCTCCTCTCAGCAACAGTGCTAACTCAGCATGTTCAAAGCATGCCCTCAGACTCCTACTTTGTTCTCTGAAGCCTGCATCTCACACTGTTTCTATTCCTTTCATTAACACCATAGTTTATTGCATGACCTTCTCCAAAGGTCAGCCCAAATATCTTCTATTTTCCCCTTATATTTGAACATGACTGAATAACAGCAGGCTGTATAAGGAAAAGAGTGTTTTCTTTGAAAACTGTGTGCAAATACTAATTCTAAGAGAAATAAGGTGAAACGGGCAACTCTTAAAAGCACACAGCAGGGACATGGAGTCAGTATAGCAACATCTCTGAAAGCTGGAACATGTTTCTGCAGTGATAAGAGTACATAAGACCTTTTCAATGTCAAACCTTAATTGTCTTGAACTCCACAAAACTTCAGTAAAAGACATAATAACAAATTCAGGTAAATCAGCTTTTCGGTTTAGTTTAGTACTTTTAAACCTCAGAACTCAAGAACGACTTCACAATGATCTTTTTCATACTTTAGTCCAGTTTCCCTTCCCCATCCGCACTGTTGTTCACCATGGTGAGGCACGGTAAGGAATAAAGGTCTGTCACCCTCTACAATAGCCTTCTGTGCAGCTTGCGTTTTCAAACACCACGCTCACTCTTCTAGACCAGGGTGAGCCAAGCAATTCAATACTCTAGTCTTTGTGGGTGTCATAAAAGGTCATCTCCTTTCTTCCCAAATTATGTCTCCTCACTCAACTGTAACAGCATTTCCAGCTCTCTATTCATTCTCACGAAAACATAATACACACATCATGAAGCTTGAACAAGTTTTCTAAAGTACTGCTTAGGCTCTACGTGTGTTTGCTCACAGTATTTTTGACAGCAGGATTCCAAAAAACTACTGATCACAATAATGTTTTAAAACAACAGTTTGAGAGGTGGAAAAAAATCGATGAACTTTGATTCCAAGGGATTTTGGAGGTTTGTTTTCTTTAATTCAGGTCCTCATCTGACTTAATGTGACATTATCACAGTTTTGGTGAGGCTGAAAATATTTCCAAGAGCCTCTTCTCACTGCTGAACTGCTTTTCTTTCAGATCCCATTGTAACAAACACTTTTAAAAGTCAGTTTCTCTGGGTAAAAAGCTATGTCTGCACTTAATACGCAAGTCACTATTAACTGCTGATATAAGCTTTTCTCATTAAAACTATGCCCTTAAAGCTGGAAGGGACAGATACAACTTCAGAGAAATGACACAGGTCTTTAAGCACAAACTATCAGCATTATGATTCTCAAATTCGCATTTTCAGCTCCTGCAGAACATAAAAATATTTGGGGGGTTAGACAGTTTACAAAGCATTGAATTTTCAGGGGTTTTAAGGTCTGAAAATAAACATAAAAATCCTAATTTCTGTGAACTTCCTTTTGAAAAGGGGGTAAACGTTAGTCTTAAATAAACAGACAAAGATTATTTCAGGTAATTAAGTTTTAAAAGAAGACTTGGGCAAGAGTTAGCAAAACTCATAGATCTGCATTATTTTGAAGTAGAAAACAGATTTTCTTCAGGTTTTCCTCCATTATTTTATTCCCTGTGCCTTGATTGAGATTCCAACCAGATTAAAAAGAAAAAGCTGCCTTACTTCACTGTAGGACTTACTAGAATAATTAATAGATTTCAACTATTAACACGAAAAAACAATATGGACCCAACAGAATGGTTTTTAGCATTCTCTGTAGAAGCAGAAAACAAAACCCCTTAAACTGTGCATTCCCTCAGCATGAAAGTAGCTGATGCTGCACCAGAGTGGCACAGAAAGCAAGCACACTTTACATACATCACCCCACTACACAGCATAGAGAGAACCTGAAACTGATCATATGTTTAACTTCATTAAACTGGGAAGCACTAGCTCAAGATTTAAAACCTCTACCACAATCAACACAGTAAAAGCAAAGACTAAAATTTTTCTAATTATTTCCCACCTTAAGAACCTAAAGTTTGTTTAAAAGTGAAAAAACATACAGAGACCAAAAAAATTACTTGTACAGCACCAACTCCAAAAACCTTTGAAGATCTTTTTTTCTATAAGCCCCTTGTATTTCGGATACCGAGCCTGACAGGATCTTATTTAGAAATCAAGCTTTTTGAGATGTATTTAGGTATGCTGTTCTTCTGATACAGAACTTGAGTTCTTTAAAATTTAGAATTAAACATCTCCAGGAAAAGACAATGCAGCTTGCTGAACAATCTGCCCTTCTCAGAATGAGTACCAAATAAATGATGAAAAACATTAATCCATAGCTGCCTGCCTCGAGT